GGGTGTTGAACTCAGGGGCACTCAACCACTGAGAGCATCCCCAGCCCTACTTTGTGTTTTAGAGACAGGGTCTCGCCGAGTTGTTTAGTGCCTCACTTTTGCTGAGGCTGGCTTTGAACTCGTAATCTTCCTGCCTCAGCCTCCCGAGCTGCTGAGATTATAGGTATGTGCCACAGTGCCTGGTATGTACAGTTTACAATTTGATTGGTATTGCCAAATTACCTTGCAAAAAGCTTTAATGGATTTGCATTGTCCTCCTAGAGTGTATGCAGACCGTTTCTCTCCAATCTCTGATACTGGACATTATTGAGTTTAAAAACTTTTTTCAGTATGAGGGGCAAAATATATGTAATTTTTAATTTTGGTTCTGAGATTATTGGAATTAATTAAGGTTGAACATCCATCCATCCATGTGCATCTAACAGAAAATTGCTTTATGATTTATGTAACAAAATAAAATGTGTGTATATACGAATATTTACATGTAAAACTACAGAAAAATGATTGAAGGGTGAATTTTATTTTATTTTTGGTATTAGGGACTGAATCCAGGGGCACTTTACCACTGAGCTATACCCCACAGCTCTTTTTATTTTTCATTTTGAAACAAGGTCTCCCTAAATTACTCAGGGTCTTGCTTAGTTGCTGAGGCTTGCTCCAACTTGTGATCCTCTTGTGTCACTGGGATTACAGGTATGCACCACCATATTTGGCTGGAAGAATGTATTTTTAAACTATTAACAGTGGTTGCCTCCAGAGAAATGAGAGGTGAGCATTTTATTTCATATACATGCTCTTTTATAACATTATTTATCTCTTAGAGCATATACATGGTGACCATAAAGTATGGAAACATAAGTGAATAATCATGACAAATGATTTCTCTCTTTCTCTTTTTCCTCTCGTACTAGGGATTGAACTCAGGGACACTTTACCACAGAGGTGCATCCCCAGTCCTTTTTATTTTTTATTTTTTTAATTTTGAGACAGGGTCTCCCTAAGTTGCTTAGGGCCTCACTAAATTAATGAGGCTGGCTTTGAACTTGTGATCCTCTTCCTTTAGCTTCCCAAGCCACTGGGATTACAGGTACATGCCACCTTGCCCAGCACAAGTGATTTCTTGATTCTGTATTATAATATATGTAAAATAATATTCATACTTGATGGCCACCCTTTATTTGTGTGTTGTTTATGAATACGTTAGGCTGATCCCGAAGCCTTTATGTAAATTAGAGCTTCAACATGGGCATGATACGATTAAATTTTTATTTTAGAAAAAACATTTGGGGGCTGAGTCTGTGGCTCAGTGGTAGAGTGCTTGCCTAACATGTGTGAGACACTGGGTTCGATCCTTGGCACCACATATAAATAAATGAATAAAACAAAGGTCCATATATATAAAATATTAAAAAAAAAAAAGAAAAAGAAAAARCATTTGGAACTATGTGGATGTGAAGCTAGTGGAGAGAGAAGCAGCAGAATGAAACCACAGCTCAGCTTGATGGCTGGGGTGTAGCTCAGTGGTAGAGCACCTGCCTAGCATGTATGAGGCCCTGGGTTCCATCCCTAGCACCACAAAACAAAACAGAGCAGAACAGAACAAAGAGTCCAATTAGGTGGGGTTTCACCTCCAGACAGCAAATTCTTACCTAGTCCTCACCTTATACGACTCAAACCTTCTGTTTCCCTGAGGAAAAGATACAGTTTTTATGTGCATGATGTAAACATGTTATAAAATGAATCCCTGGATAAAATGGAATTATATAACCGTAATGAAAGCAAGGTTTTGTTTCCTTTTTTTACAAGGGAACAAAAAAGCGCAAGTGTTTTTTAAATATTTTTTTTAGTTGTCGATGGACCTTTAATTAATTAATTATATGTGGTGTTGAGAATCAAACTCAGTGCCTCACCGCGCTAGGCAAGTACTCTACCACTGAGCCACAACCCCAGTCCTAGGGTTTGTTGTTGTTGTTGTTATTGTTTGTTTTGAGATGAGGTCTTGCTATTTGTGGCCCAGGCTGATCTTGAATTCTAGGCTCAAGTGATCTATCTTCTTGCCTCAACCCCCTAAATAGCTGGGTCCACAGATGGGTACCTGGATGAAACTTGTATTCTGAGGATCACTGTTGCTTCTACTGAGCTCTAAATACATAAAACTGAATTTTTACTCTATAGGCCAGTAGCCAGATGCGTAGACCTTCCATGGACATACCTTACCTGCTTTGTGTTTGTTTTGAGGCAGTCTTGCTGTGCGCTCAGGCTGGTTGTGAACTAGTGCTGGGACTATATGCACACACCACTACATTCAGCTCCTCACCCTTTTTTGGCTAAGTCTCTGTGCAAGTGAGTAGGGAGCATGTTTGTACCTTGTTGATTAATTGTTCACACTGACAGAGACCCAATCAAGTGGTTCTTTAGCCTTAAATTGCTTTTCTATTTTTGTACTGAGGATTGAGCCCAGGGGTGCTTAACCACTGAGCCACATCCCCAGCACTTTTTATTTTTTGTTTTGAGACAGAGTCTCCCCAGGGCCTTGCTAATTTGCTGAGACTAGCAAACTTTGATCACCTGCCTCAGCCTCCTACGCTGCTAGGATTATAGGCATGTGTCACCAAGCCAACACTTACATTGCTTTTGGTTACTGTTCCTACCTGTTCCATTCAGGTAGTCCTTGGCCAGCTCAAATAATCTGAGGTGCATGTTGGTGATTGGATTRAATGAACCACAAGCAAGAAGAACCACTTCAGTTTTCTCTGATTTGTCCATGGTAAGAACTTGAAGTTGTTGCTCTAAATGGAAAACTCTGACATCTTCCTTGTTGTCTACAAAGGAAAAAGAAAATAAATCCAGTTATGTGATCATTAATAAATAAATCAATAAATCCATGTGATCATAGCCAACAATATTTGGCTATAATGATTACGCTAAATGAATTGCACAATTGGCATTATTTCCCCACCCCTCCTTTTAAACATAAATATGTAGCTCCTATCATAAAGGGAGGGAATCTCCTTCTCTATTCTTTGTGATTTGTTTTRCCCAAAAGAATGTGGGCAGTAGCGATAGGATGCCAGCTCTGAGCCTAAGCCTCACAGGCTGTCTTAGTCCATTTCCTGTTGCTATAATGGAACAGTAGAAGCAGGTGCTTTATAAAGAAAAGAAATTCAGGAGTTCCAAGAACATGATGCTGACTTCCAACTGAGGGTCCCAGGTTGTATCACAAGGTGGCAGAGAAGCAGAAAGGGAACCAGGCACATGCAGAAGGAACTAAGCATATATAMAGTGTTGCATAGTGTTGACCTTACTTTATAACAATCCATTCTCTTGAGAAGTCACCTCAGGGACCACCATGACCTAATTACCTTCCACTAGGGCCCACATTTTAAAGGTTCACATTTAAAGGACCACCTTCACATTGCCACACTGGAGACCAAGCTTCCAGCACATGAACTTTTGGGAGACTTAGTACCACATTCAAACCATAACAGAGGCATCGAACCCTTCTGTTTTCAGGACTGCCACCCAGCCATGAAAACTAGCCCAAGCRAGCCTGCTGGAGTGTGGTGGAACTCGTAGAAGAGTGCTGGTGTCCCAGCAGATGGACAGCCAACCATGTAGTATGTGAGTGTAGCCGTCCTAGGCCAGCCAAACCCAACCAACTTGAGCAGACAGGCAGCAAGTCCAGGTGGAATCAGCCAAACCCGGCTCAGGTCAGTAACTACCAGCTGACCCGACTCACAAGCAAAAATCAATGTTTTTGATAGATGCCACTCAAGTTTTGTGATTGTGTTATTGTGGTTATCGTAAACTGAGAGGATATTGTCATCTAACAAATATAAATCCTAACACCTGTCTTTAAAAACAGTATTTTCACCTCTTTGTCAACATGATCATGACATTATCATTTTTTTAAAATTTTATTTTTAGTTGTAGATGGACGTGATATCTTTATTTATTTATTTGGTGCTGAGGATGGAACCCAGCGCCACACATGTGAGGCAGGCACTCTACCACTGAGCTACAGCCCCAGCCCAACATTATCATTTTGCATGGAGTGAGATTTATTTTTATTTTATTTTATTTTTAAAGAGAGAGTGAGAGAGGGGAGGGGGAGACGGAGAGAGAGAGAGAGAGAGAATTTTTAATATTTATTTTTTAGTTCTCGGTGGACACAACATCTTTGTTTGTATGTGGTGCTGAGGATCGAACCCGGGCCGCACACATGCCAGACGAGCGCGCTACCACCTGAGCCACATTCCCAGCCCTGGAGTGAGATTTATAATCTACATATATCTTTGTTACATCATTCTATTCAATCTTTCTTAAACCCTAATGAAGTCATGCTAGATATCTGATTTAAAGTATTGGGGACGGAGTGCATTTCCTGGTGGAGCACTTTCCTAGCATATGCAGGCCTRGCTTTGATCTCCAGAACTGCCAAAAATAAAATAAAATAAAAGTTGAGGTGGTGAGGAAGTAGCTCAGTGGTGGAGTGCTTGCCTAGCATGCATGAGGCCCTGAGTTTGATCCCCAACACTGGAAAAACAAAAAACAAAACTGTAATACAATTTTACCAAACTTGTCCACCTATAGAAATCATAACATGGAAAAGGCCCACGACGAAAACAAACCACCATTCAATCCCCTCCCCCAGCTGCCTAAAGGCAACTACTYCTCACCTTTTCAGTTATTTCTCCTGCTAGATTCTACCATAATTCTACATTGTGAGCTTCTGATGCTATTCTCAAGTTATCAGAATTACAGAGTTCCTAATGACATCCTCCTAAGATCTGTGAGGATTAGTTCTCATAATCCCTTGCTACTTTCTCCCAGACTTCCTGTATTGGCAGGAATCTCCAGAGAAACAGAACCAAAGAACATATGTAATTAGGAGGAGAGATTGATCAGATTTTCTCAGAGGATCACAGAAGCTGAAAAGTTTTACAATGGCTGCCTCAGGCTTGAGACAGGGAAAGTGGCGGCCTCTCATCTCAAGAACCCAGAAGCAGCTGGTGTGGTGATGCACACCTGTAATCCCAGAGATTTTGGGAGGCTGAGGCAGGAGGATCACCAAGTTCAGGGTCAGCTTCAGGATTTAGCAAGAACTTGAGAGACTTACTGAGATCCTATCTCAAAAAATACAAAGGCTGGGATGTAGCTCCATGGTAAAGACCCCTTGAGTTCAATYGCTAGTACTTAAATAAATAAATAGACCTCTGATTTGTGTGACCTTGATTCAATTACCTCTTTCAGTTTTCTCAACTGTAAAATGAAGATAGAGACAGAACCAATCTCAGTTATTTTGAGTAAGTTTTTATTTTGTGGTGCTGGGGGTRGAAMCCAGGGCCTCAGCATGCTAAATTCTACTGCTGAGCTCTGCCCCAAACCTGAAGATTATTTCTCAGGATAATACATGGCCAAGTGCTCAGCATATTGCCTGTACCACTGTGTTAAAATGGATGCAAGCTGAAGACTTTGAGGAAAAGAATAATACTGATGASGGTGATGAGGCAGGACTGATTAGAAGAGCAAAACAAGAGAGAAAGATCAGCTACAAAGTAAGCACAGCTTCATTTAAGTAAATCTATGGGGTAAGAATTAAGAAAGAGATCTGAGGCCATCTCCAAACACACAGTAATTCCAGCTACTTTGAAGGCTGAGGCAGGATCATCTCCTGTGCCCAGAAGTTCAATGCCAGCCTGTGCAACATGATGAGACCACCATCTCAAAAAAAAAAAAAAAAAAAAAAAAGGCTTAATGATAGAGATCACAGGGACAGTGCTAATTGTGCATAGGAAATAAAGGAAAGAACAGTCAGAATGGTCAACATGGCATTAAGGAATGAGTTCAGCTGGGCACAGTGGTGTACATGCCTATAATCCCAGGAACTTGGGAGGCTAAGACATGAGGATCACAAATTCAAGGCCAGTCTCTGCATTTTAGCAAGACCCTATCTCAAAACATAAACTGGGCTTGGTGG